TGCAGATTTCTGAATGCAATTCCCTGCTTCAACAGAATATCCTAATAATTTATTAAAAAAAAAGATGATTAATGCTACATTTGCACAAATACTAACAGATTATCATGGAGTTACAGTTGTTATTTACAATATTTACATTCAGATTGACATCCTCATCTTTGTTGGTATTATTACAGTGTTTCACCCATTGCACCCTTCTGCCTTCTTCAGGTATTTTTCAATCTTCATGAAATTTTGAAGTGAACCCATTATTTATTCCAAGGTGGTAATTCTTATTCTGATGTCAATGTTTAGGGATATCTTGTCTTGTTCTTGGTTATTAGTCACTCTGTTTGTACTGAGGCTGAGGGATTTGAACTCACAATATATCATCAAATTAAGGAACCAATGCTTTAATCCACTTGTTTTGAGCAATGATCCTGAACTTGGTGCCTTCAATTTTCTTCTTTATTCCTATTGCTGTCATGCTTGGCCACATCCACTGCTGTTTCTCTTTATTAGCTGCTGCTGTTGAAGCTTTTCTGTCTTTTTTCTTTATTTATTAATATATATTGGGGGTAGAACAATGAAATCAGGCATAGCTGATCATGTATCAAGGAGAAAGGGTGGTCACTAAACCCTGTGGAATGAAGTAAAAATGCTTGATAGAGAAGAACGCTAGAGAATGAGATGTCTGAAAGACTCAGCACTGAGCGCCTCAGTAGAACTAGCAGAGAAATAAATATGGGCAAATTTTAATCTTCATGCCCACAAAAATTTCTTCTGTTGATACTGCTATGACTTTATACAACTGAGACTCACTTGGCAATCTTTATATACAAGTTTATATAAATATGTGAAGCAAGTACAATGCAGTATTTTATTATTTACCTCTTTATAAAGATTTATTATCCATCATTTTAGAAATCAATAAATCTGAAAAGAAATCTTTTTATTAAAAAAATTTATGAAAATTTTCAAAATATGTAAACCAACTAAAGCAACAATTATTATTTACCATTTTATAAATAAATAACTATGAAAACATGTTTTTTATTCATAATTTTATTAAAATATCTATGAACTACAGAAGAACAAAATTAAAATAAACATATGATTTTTCCAAACATTATACATTTTCTCAATAAATTTTTTTATATCTCAGATTACTTTTAGTTTTAATTTTCCAATTTTTTTCTTTTGTAATCATGAGTTCAGATCAAAGATGCCTAATCAGTAAAAATTCAAGGCCAGGAATGTTAGCAATTACCAGTTTACCTTCCCTCCCTACACTTTTTTTTTGAAAAACATGATTTTGAAAAATTTTTTTAAATCTTTGCTAATTTTTCTAAAAATGCCTTGAAAATTTGTTAATAGATTATTTATTGTTAGTTCAAGTGCTGACTGATGAAGAAATCTTAAATGAAGTGTGGACACTAAATAACTTGGTGAATCTGGCAAATTCTGTTCTTTGGAATGGTTAGCAAAACATTGGCAAATTAACAATCAATTCAAACTTTACAAAATGGTAAATAATAAAGATTTTTATTATAGTTGTTATAATTTAGTAAATTTTTATAAATTTACAAATAAAAAATTTTTTCATCTTTATTTTTTTATAAATTGGTAAATGATAGACATTGCATTGTATTTGTTCACATTTTTACAATTTCGTAAATATAAAATTATTCTTGTAAATAAACAATCTAATAAATAGTGATTAATATTTTTGTTTTAAATTCTCAAGAAGATAAGATAATGTATAACTCCACTTTCATATATTTGGATTTTATTAAAATTTGATTCATCATTCTTTTAAACAATTGTCAAGAGAGTAAAGAGAGTATCAAGCAGTGTCAAGGGAAAAATCATCTTTTTTGAAACAGCTTTTTTGTGTTAAACTTTGTGTAAATATGATTGTAAGCATTATGATAACAACAACAAAGATGAGGATATTATTCTGACTAAACAATAAATCCTCATTTCCAAAATTGAGAAAACAGTTGCATTTGTTTTTGCTATAGCATATGTAATTTTGTGAGTTTTTTCTTTCTTTTGATTTCATTTGTCTGCTAGTTTGATGTCTGTGTTGCTGCTTGTATGTGATTTTGCCATGTATATCTTGCATTGCTGTAGGTTGCTAAAGAAGAAAGGTAGGAAAGGCCAAGTCACTGGATTCCAGCCGATAAGTTCAGTGGAGAAGGAATCAAAGAAGAACGTCCCTCCAGGAAAAACATCTGTAAATGCTGAGAAAACAGTCAAACTTACTGCAAACAAACACGAATTAGAAACACGCATCAGTTTGATGGAACGATCAGAATCGCAGATCACTGACCGCAGTGACACACTTGATTTGGAACTAATGTAAGTATACAAGTAAAGTGGTCAAAACCTATGTACAAGTTCTCACAGCACTTAGAAAATATTTTTTTACATTTTCTTCCCTAAAACACTCTTTTTTGAGAAGTCTCTTTATCATTCCAAGACTATTCTTGATGTTGATTTTGTTGTTACCATGACATTTTGGCCAATTCACTCTACAGCCTTCTTCAGTTATACAACCCTTGTGGAAGATATATTTTATAATTCCAAGAATCATCATTATCACTCTTAGAAAATGTTTAGACTATTAAACTTATTCTTAATGCTGATATGGTTGTCACCACAGCATTTCAGCCAATTCATTCTTTGGCCTTCTTCAGACATACACCCCTTATAGAAGATATCTTTTATAATTTCAAGAAGAATCATCATCAATCCAAGAGTTGTTCAGATTACACACATTTTATGTGTGTGTGTGTGTGTGTGTGTAAAAATAATGGGTAAATGAATATACAACTGTTATGGAAGAGAGTTGCTCAGACTATTCTTGATACTGATTTTGCTCTTACCACAATATTTCAGTCAATCCATTCTACAGCCTTCTTCAGATATGGAAGATATCTTTTTATAATTCCAAAGAGAATCATTATCACTCCAAGAGTTGTTTAGACTATTAAACTCATTCTTGATGCTGTTATGGTTGTTATGACAGCATTTCAGCCAATCCATTCTGCAGCCTTCTTCAGATATATAACCCTAATGGAAGATATCTTTTATTATTTCAAGAACCACCATCATTTGAAGAATTGTTTGGTCTAGTGAGTATTTCAGCCAATCCATTCTGTAGCCATATTTGTTTCTACAATCTGTTGGGAAAGAGCAGGTTTTCTCTTTACTTTTCATTTTCAGATGCTATCAGTTCTCAACGTGCTACCTATATGGACTTACTACCTATATGGACTTACTCCTGTCTTAATAGTAAGTCTGATTAGTTTGATAAGCTCAAATTGGCAGCTGATCTCAAAAATGGCCCGGGACAGTCAATGGCTTGTTAATTTTAACATCACCAAAACAAAACTGCTCTTTATTAATTGTCTGAGAGAACACTTTCTGCCTTTCATTAATTGCTACCCTCAGGTGAGTGACTTGTTGCACCTTCTTGGACTAATGTTTTTTACTGACATGAAGTGGAAAGATTATATTGAATGAATTGCTATGTCTGCTGATAAAAAGGTTGGTCCACTGTGCTGTGCAATAATCATAACATTCACCAATACTATGATTATTGCTACCACATCTGGTGCTCCTGTTATATATTTACAGATTCTTGATAAAATCTGAAGAAGAATCTGTAATCTTATTGATCTTGAGCTGGCATCTTGGCTTCAGTGATATTCCCATCACTGTAATGTAGCTTCCCTACACCTTTTTTATAAATACTTTCATGGTAAATATTCAGATGAATTATCCTCTATGGTACCTAGACTCTATGAATTTAAGCACGTTATTAGACTGGTGGCAAGGTCTCATAATTTTATAGTTGAAATGGCTAGATATAACCGTGTGTTCTATGCTAACACTTCTAGCTTGTGGAACTTTCTTCTTGCTTCTTGCTTCCCAGTCAACGTTGATCTTCAAAAATTTAAATGCAATGTCAAGCATTATCATCTGTCCTCTTAAATTATTTTCATTTATCCTTTTTGCTCCTTAATAATGTTTTTTCTTATATACTTTCACATTCAGTAATAAGCTCTGTTGCCTTTGCTTGGGGGTGAAATGATTAAAAAAAATAATGACCAGCATTTATATTTATGATTGTTATTGCAATATCTTTTTAAAGTTGTTAATATTTAAAATGCAAAATTCTACAGATATTTTATTGTTGTACAACTTGCCATGAGCTTGTTCAATTATTGACTTAAAAATTCAAGTTTCATCAGGAAATTAAAATAGGAAAACTGTGAAATTTTCATGGGTACTTCTAGCATTTAATAAATTCAAGTAAGTAAATTTTGTCTGCATTACCCACCTTACATCAGTAGAACAAAACAGCCCACATCACCAAAGTATTTACTCATCTCCCTGCAGTGACATGATTTATATATATATATATAAGGCTGGTAGTAAAATAATTGGTGATGTAGTAATACCAATGCCATATGAAACTGATCTTGTGTCACAAGATATATATATATATATATATATATATATATATATCTTGTGACACAAGATATATATCAACAGTATCATTCAATTTGCATAACAATTTTTAAAAGCATATTAAATAAATATTTGGTCTATATTATTTGTTTTTAATTAAAATTTTATAAATATCCATAATAAGCAATATTTCTATCAATAAAGTTCTTTATTTAAATCATCATGTTTATAGAGAAAGAATTTATATCTGCCTTGTTTGTTTGATTCATTCATTCATTCATTTTCTATGGCTTATCAACCTCTTGTAGGTTATGTAAAGCCAGAAAAGATTTTTAGATTCTAAGAATTTTTTTAGATAATAATGATTTAGTGATATGTCTTACTAATTAACCCATAGCTGGGAGGAGAAAAGGTGGATCTATACCCTTCCAAAAGGTATTTGTGCATAAGCAAATATAGGTAACCCAACTGGAATTAGAACTCGGCTCTCTGATTAACATTTCCGAGCCATTATCCATTACCCCACTCACATATCAAAGCTTACAGCACCTGGTATTCCCAAGTGGTCACCCATCTAGATACTGACCAGGATTGATGTTGTTCAATTTCGATGATCATATGGGAACTGGTGTTTCAATGTGATATGGCCATAAATCTATCTGCCTTGTCAAAATTCAGTTGTAATTGAGCAGAAAAGATATTTAAAAAGAATTTTAAATAAATCTTGGTTTCTAAAATAACATTTTTTAGAAGTGGATGTGAAGTAAATAACTTAACAAAAATAATAAAATGTTAATAGAAATCTATCATTGGAACACAAGTTACAATCTTATTTCCAAAAGTGTTAACCCTTGAACCCTGTTTTTTTTTATTGGCCTTTCCCTTCAGTTATGTTTTCTCAGTTTTCCAGTTTCAAATGCTAAAATTATAACCAGCCTTTCAAGTCCCACTCAGTTCTTCAAAGTAATAACCAGCCCATTGATTCTTACTCCATTCTTCTGTCATGCATGTATCTGTGTTTTTGCTTCAGCCATGGAGAATTGTGAGTGTGCTCTTTATTGACAGCTGTTTTAGGAGCAAATCCTGCCCACTTTTAGTTGATTTCTCCTGGACCATCTCTGTTTGTATGTGTTTATTTTTACTTTGACCATAGGACATGCAACTGGAGCAAACCTCTAGCAACCTTCCTTAGCCCCAATTTTCTAATCACCTGTCTACCCACCAAATTTGACATACCGTTCTTATTTGTTTCACACTTCCCACCTGTTGAACTCTCTTCCAGTGTCTTGCTTTCGTGTCAACTACATCTTCAAAAATTTAAATGCAATGTCAATTGTTGGCATCTGGTTTTCACATTGATATATCTAATTTCTCCATCCCAACTATATTAATCTTAGGAAATTTTGTCAATTAGTCATATGGTAATCTCTTTGTTTAGAATCACCTTCTGTAAAAATAATTGAATTCTTGGGTGATCTCCAGCTTGGCAATTAGCAAATTCAATTTTTTTTTTTTTGTCTAGAATAATTTGTAAATATGTACACATTTTGGACAGACAGAATAATGTAAACAAACTCCAAGCCTGGAACTTAAAAAATGCTCCTTTCTTTGTTTCAAAAAGTTCAATTATTATTTTCTGTAAGACCACACATGTTTTGAACAGGTAGCATAATGTAAACACATTAATCATGTCTACTTTTGATCAGTGGGAACCTTGGTTTTGCTCAATTTTACTGGATCTTGTTTAGTTTATTCTGGGTTTGATTCTCCTTGGAACTGTTAAAAAAATTGTTTTATTAGTTTAAAACATAATTTTTTCTTAACCATTCAATCTACTCTGTTGAGAATTTTAAAAATTATTATCCAATTAGTAGCCCCGTAATAAGAAATAAAATAAATTACATTTATTCACTTTTGAATTGCATCAAATTAAATCCACTTTTCAAAAGATTCGATGGTAAATCAGTTTTGTTTTCAGAAAACATATTATCCTTAAAAGATGTTATTTATTGATGTAAACTTGTTTGAATTTGTTTATTTATATGTGTTGGTTAATAATTTATATCATCATTTTATATCACCAGAAATTAGACTTTTAATGGGACTTTTGAGGCAAAATATATATACAGCCAAGTATTTTCATTTTCAACAGGGATATATATAAAAGTTTTTTTCAAGCAAATTGCTACTCTGGTGAAGGATTCTATCTTATAACTTATATATGAAATATAAAAATATTACTTTAGCAATTTTTCTAGTAAACAGGTATTGTCAGAGAGGCAATCCCTGCATGCAGCACCTTTGTAAAGTGCCTGAAAGCCATGGGAGTGAAATTGAGTAGATGGAACTATTTGGGAATTGTCGATGGTTGTGCTAGCTCAAAATCACAAGTCACCATAACCGAGAGTTTGAGTGTACTGGCCTTGTTCAGACTGTTTATCACACCTGATAAAATTCTCCTTTCCAAAAACTGTAACTAAGGTCTGCTTACCATAGTTGCAGTATAAACCATAGGTGGGGTCCGTGGGTGTTAATGAAACAGAAATGTGCCTGCGCAGACATGTGCAACTGGAATGGGATTAGCTAGCTACGACAGTAGACATATGTACATGGATATGAATAATCAACCATTAAAAATAAATATATATATATACATATATATTTTTTTAAGATTTAGGAACAGGAACATTGCTCAGGAGTGAGAAAAAAAGAAAAGTGTAATCAGTCAGACAGCAGATAGCGATTGAGATTGCATTTAAATTTTTGCAGATTAAAATTGGTTGGAAAGTATGGAGCCGGAAGGGAGTTCCAATGCAAGAAGTGAGAGAAAATAAACTGTCAGGATAGAATCTACAGTTACATCTAGCCACCTCAAATGTAAGTTGAAAAGTGAGATCTCGTTTCCAGTCTAGTACTCCACTTAAGTTCAAAGAGTCTTGGCAACATAGCAAATTGCTCATCTGAACAATTACTATGAATGCATTTATAGAAAAGGCAAAGGGGGGCAACCTTATGGTGATGGGAAAGTGATTGACGCAAAGCTGCCAGAACAGGGCCAATAATATTGCTAATTCTTCTTTGGATTTTATCAAGGAGCTTTAGATAGATAACGAGCACCAGACCATATGGGGCAGCAATATTCTAAACCATGGATCAAATGGTAGTCTTACAGATATGTAAGATAGATTCTGGAGAGAAAAACTGTCTAGCAGCTGATCTAGTAATGGATTCAATATAATCTTTCCACTTCATGTCATTGAGAACATTAGCCCAAAAAGCCGCAATGAGTCACTCTCCTAGAGGTCAGAATCAGCCATGCTAATGAAAGGTAGAAAGGGTTCTCTCACATGATTAATAAAGAACATTTCAGTTTTGGAGGTGCTAGAATTAAGAAGCCATTCTTTGATCCAGTTAATAAGAGGTTAAAGTTCGTTTTGGGTATCAGCTGTTATTCGAACCTTATCAAACTGAGCAGACTTACTATTGAGACAGAAGTAAATGTTTGTATCATCAGCATAGATATCAAGTTGAGAGCTGATGTCATTGGGAAGGTCATTAGTGGAAATAAAATACAAAGTAGGACCAATTAGTACAAAAGGAACTGGAATAGTGGCTGTTCATGATTACTTTCATTTTACAATTTGATAAGAAGGATTGGATCAGTTCAAAAATTTTTCCGAAGACATCATTTCAGTTTGTGGAGAAGATCTGCATGCCAAACCCTGTTAAAGGCTTTTGAGATGTCCAAAGCTACAGCTCAGGCTTTGCTGTTTTTATCTAGAACTTGATAGATTCTTTCCATAATTATCCTCAGTATATCAGCAATTGACCTGGACAAATGAAAGCCATATTGTTTGTCTGAAAAAAGGCCCTGCAATGTGAAATCTTAACCAATCCAACATTCATTAGGGCCTCTTGAAGTTTTACAAAAAGAGGTAGAAGGTTAATAGGCTGATAGTTGGAAGGGTCAGACAGTTCACCAGAGTTCTTAAGAACTGGAACAACAGATGAGGACTCCAGCTGGCAGGGAAACAAGTAGAGGCAAGATAACTTATTATTATACAGTTTAGAGAGAACAGGAACCAGTTTGGAGGTACACTTCTTAATGACTATTACAGGGATACCATCAGGTTCATATGCATTTTGGGGATCCAGGATAGAAATATAGCAGAAATAGAAGGGGTTATATACATAACACTCAAATGAGACCTAGTTCTTGGTCGTAAGTTAGGCAGGGATACTCCAGATGAGTGAAAAGTTTGTTGAGAATTTACAGGTGAAACATTTAGTTTTATGAGCAGAAGATTTTAACACCTCAAATTAATTGAAGAGAGGAGGAATAGACAACTTACACTTATTTAATACACTAATACAGAGAGCCAAAGGTTTTAGATGCAATTCTATAAATTCTCATTCTCTCAGCAAAACAGAGACTTAGCTCCATTGAGGAGTTGTTGGCATTTATTACAAGCAGCAACAAATAGGCGTCTGTTGTGACAGGAGTTATCACACTGGTAGAGCTGAAAATAGGGATTCTTGTGAGCTATAGCGACAGAGCATGCAAGTGTGAATCATGGAGTAGATTGAGGTTTCACTTGCTTTTCCAAGATGGAATGAAAGTATTCATACCAGCTTTGATCTAAGAGGAAAGCTCAGTGGCACAATTCTCAATTTGAAGTTTGAAAATATTAGTTCAGGGTATGTCTCAAAGAAAATTACAGAGTGAATCCCAATCAGCATGTTGGTAACAGAATAACATTTTATGAATAGGAGGTTCCTGATTAACAAATGATTAGAACAAAATATCAATGGATACCACAAAGGGATCTGAGTTTACAAGAGAACAGTGGTACAAAGCGAGGAGAGGAAGTGAGAAATAAATCAAGTAGAAAAGCCTGTTGCTCTGATATACTAGAGAAACAGGTAGGAAAACCCATGATTTGAGTAAGGGATTGAGAAATGGAAAAATTTAATGTCTGAATACCGACAACGTCAGTAACATTAAAATGTTTAAGCCACATCTTGTGGTATGCATTAAAATATCTCCCATCTATGGGTTAAACATTAGAGAAGACTCTAATAGAATATATATTACCATAGCAATTACTCTGTAACAGTGATCATCAGGCCAGGATATATATTTATTTTAAATGCCAACCACTTTTTATATTTGAATACTATGAAAACCATATGGTGTCTGTAAGTTTTGGATTTTAATGTCATGTAAGCTAAATTTTTTATTTAATTTAATTCTTTTAATTTTTTTTTTATTTTATTGAATCCAGACACAGATTTTATCCTGGTGTCATATTAGACAATTGTTTGGCCTGCACACATCCCAAAAGTATCTCAGATCTTTTAGTATATAAGCAACAAAATTGTCATTGGTTTAGTGATTGACTTGTTGGTATCTACTAAACCATGTTCTAAAATACTATTGCACAATGATGTTTAAAATAGTATTGCAACAGAATATTATTTTATTTAAGTCAGTCTCAGCAAACATCTCAACAATGTCTGCAAACACTTGCTTTGTTGCTCAATAAATGATCACTGATTATGGAAAAGCCTGGTGCTGTCAAATGCCTGATTGGCTAACAACAAAATAGACGACATATTATACTGTGGGAATGAGCTTTAAGAATTTTTCTA